AAAAAATAAAATAATAATTGCCGAAACCGGTTTGGCTCAGTGGATAGAGCGTCAGCCTGTGGACTGAAAGGTCCTAGGTTCGATTCCAGTCAAAGGCATGTATCTGGGTTGCGGGCACATCCACAGTAGGAGATGTGCAGGAGGCGGCTGATCGATGTTTCTCTCTCATCGATGTTTCTAACTCTCTATCTCTCTCCCTTCCTCTCTGTAAAAAATCAATAAAATATATTTAAAAAAATAAAATAAAATAATAATGATAATAAATAAAACCACCTCACCTACAAAAAACAAACAAACAAAAAAATCCCCACAAAACTTCCATCACATAAAAATATTCCCAGATGATAGTTTAAGGTCAACCATAGGCCTGTCTCCAGCTCCAGGAAACCATGATTATGCTCTTTTTATAGTTTGTATATATTAGAAATTTCATATAAATGGAATTGTACAATAAATTACCTTTGTGTCTGGTTTCTCTCATTTAACATAATATTTATGTGTCTATAGTCTATTTCTTTTTCTTGCTGAGTATGTCATTATGTAAATAAAACACTTATTTATCCATTCGTTAGTTGACCTACATTGGATTATTTACAGCATTTGACTATTATGAATAATGCCAACACAAACATTAGCATGTAGTCTTTGTGTGGGCATTTTTGGACAGATATATGGGAGAAGAATTACTAGGTAGTATGATAGGTATTTGTCTAATTTTGAGGAAAATGTCAAATTGTTTACTATTCTGGCTGAAACATTCTACACTCCACATTCTTTTTTATAAAATATATTTTATTGATTTTTTTTACAGAAAGGAAGGGAAAAGGAGAGGGATAGAGAGTTAGAAACATCGATGAGAGAGAAACATCGATTCAGCTGCTTCCTGCACACTTCCTGCTGGGGATGTGCCCACAACCAAGGTACATGCCCTTGACTGGAATCAAACCTGGGACCCTTCAGTCCGCAGGCCGACGCTCTATCCACTGAGCCAAACCGGTCACGGCGACACTCCTCATTCTTTACAACACATGGTATTGTCTAAACATAGTCATATTGTATTATTTAAAAATATACAGAAATACTTATAAAGCAACTGCTCATAATGTGTATGGTATAGGTGGTCTCCTATAGGTTGTAATACTCACTGGGAAATAAATGGGTTTAGAAATTAAAAATAGATAATTAAACTCCTGCCATAATTCTCTATGGTGCCTTTTATAATGTGACTATGCTTATGAAAGAAAATAAGTGAGACCAAAAGGGCATGAAGAGCTGGTGGAAAGGGTCTGTAAACAATTTAAGGACTAACCACATAAAGGCACTGATGGAATAACCAGCTATTTCTGTGATTTTAGGAACTACCTCATTGATGAAAAATAATCATTACAAACAAGTCCAACAAATTTTAAAAACTTGGTCTTGTGTTCCTGATGGAGAGTTCAGGCAATCCATCTCTCCATCCGACAACAGGAGTCCCCAGCCCTGTTTCAGAGTAAATCACATTATGTCACCACTGAGACGGAGACTGACTTTGGAGTCAGAAGACCTGGACGGACGCTGGGCTGGAATCCTAGAACTTATTTAGTGATTTAACACAAGGAAGACATAAACATATGCATGTGTGTGTACGCAAGAATGAGAGAAATAGATCCTTCATTCATTTTCAAACTTGGCTGATAAGATGCAAATAAAATCAAAATGGAAAAGAATTTTTTTTGAGATGTGTTTGCAGAATCAAAAATAATTTAACAAATGGAGAAAGGGCGTGGAGTTCTCAGGCAAATCCAGGTGGAGTAGCCCACGTGGCAATACATAACACACCTCAAGGGATTTCTCCAGAGCAGTTGTGAAATTGTTATAGAATCATGATGGCTCCAGTCGCCACCAGAGGTTTGAGCAATCTTATAAGTACTCTCTTTGCTAGTCTCAAAGAAGGAGAGAAGCCAAGTTAATCCTGAACTGGAGCCCAGAGGTTGATACAGGTAATATATTAATCTTAAAATCATTTTTTATGCCCTCCACCTAGCAGGCTCTGTGTAGGATTATTTATGAACATAATTTTATTAAATCCTCATAGGAATTCTAATGAGAGAAATGATAAGGACAAATGAGAAGTCTATAGAGTGTCATGGGTAGCAGAAAGCAAAGAAAAGAGAAAAAAAGTAAAATATAGAAGTTACACTTAAGACAAAAAAGACATATACTGTGGGGGAAGATCTAGTGAATAGAGAAGAATGAAATCAAAATTGGATGGAAGAGTAAATGAGAATTAAATTGGGAACTAGAGAAAAGAGGGGTTGAAAATTTAGGGAAAATGGAAAAGGAAAGTAGAGAATAGAAAAATGAATGGGGGGGGAGAGAAGATGGGGTAAAACACATTTGGATAAACAGAGTCAAAGGCTGTAAAAGTGAAAAGAATACCTGGTTTGGCTCAGTGGATAGAGTGTCAGCCTGCGGACTAAAGGGTCCCAGGTTTGATTCCAGTCAAGGGCACATACCTGGGTTGAGGACTTGATCCTCAGTGGGGGACATAGGGAGGCAGCCAATCAATGATTCTCTCTCATCATTGATGTTTCTATCTCTCTGTCCCTCTCCCTTCTTCTCTGAAATCAATAAGGATTTTTTTTTTTAAAAGAATCATTAAAAAAAGTGAAAAGCAAAACAAAAGTCAACAATCTCCATAGAACAACAGTGGTTCGGCAGATCCTGGGGCTTAGTCAAAGAATATCAAAGATTTTTTAAGTCTTTCCAAGAAAAGTTATCAGTAAGGATGAGCCAGTTGACTCTTCCCTAGTGAAAGCCATCAGAATTGCTTGCGATGAGGAGTCAGCAGTGAAGAGCTCTCACTTACCATGCAGAGTACTCAAAAGCCCCTCTTCCAATTCCAGCCACAGGGTAGACGACCACTACAGCGTGCCTTGTTTAGATCTTAGCATTGTGATTTATTGGGAGAGAGGCCTGGATTCTGTTTGCAACACACATCACAACCTTTGTAAGTGGACTCCTTATTTAAGCTTTTTGTCTGGACCCTCCTAGAAAAGCAGATTTTTCTCTTGATTAGTAATTGTCAACCCACATGGAGAAGATGAGGGGGGAGTGTGAGGGTTTTTAAGACTTCTGGAAAGAGGAATGCCATTCAGTCATCCATATTAATTTATTCATTGCTTCATTCCTTTATTTAACACATATGGAAAAGTTTCTATATGTTTAGCATATGATCTATTAAGTGATGAACTGATAAATATTCCTTTCTTTTAGGGAGTTTAACTTCTAGTAGGAGAGATAGACATTAAACAAATACTGATGCAATGTTTAATTGACTGTATTCACTTAAAAGGAAAAAAATCCCAGAATGTGAAAACAGTATACTAAGGAGTCTTAAAGGGCAGTGGGCATTTGGAAAAGGCTTACTTGAAAAGGACAGCTAGGCTTTAATTAGGCAAAGAGGAACTGTGCAGAAGGTGGAGAAAGGCCTAAGGAACAGGGAAGCACATATGTGGGAATCCTGTGGCAGGAAGAATTTAATGAGATCCAGGAACTTAAACACCACAAATTTGGCTGGATTGAAGACACCAAAACGGAGAGAAAGGGTGTGAGTTGGTGCTCGAGAGGCAGATAAGGGTGACTCTTGATGGCTAAGATAAGGATTTGTGACTCTATTCTACCAGTAAGTATAATAGAAGTCCTTAAAGGAGCTTTTGTTTGTGTTGAGTAAATCATATTGTAATTTTTAAAAGTTTATTCTGACTACAGAATGAAGAATTATTGGAAAGAGGATGATCAGTTAGTTAGCCTGGGAGAAGTGGGCTATACTATTTACTGGCTATATAAAATGAAGATAATTATTTCATATGTTTTGAAGACAAGTTTGAATGCTGTTTGATGACAGAAGGGGCTTCAAGAATGGCTCTGTTTCTGGTGAGTTAGGAGACTCTCAAAATAAAAATCCTGCCCTACCTGGTTTGGCTTAAATTAATGGAATTTAATTTCCATTTTTGAATGAACAAATTAAATTCAAGGGAAAGGAAGTTATCCCATGTGATTAGGTTTTAGTAGATAGAGCTTCAGCCTGAGGACTGAAGGGCCCTGGGTTTGATTCCAGTTAAGGGTATATAACCAGTAAAGAGCATGCAGGAGGCAGCCCATAAATTATTCTCTCTCATCATTGATTTTTTTTCTCTCTCTCTCTCTCCCTTCTTCTCTGAAATCAATAAAAGTATGTTTTAAATAAAAAAATTAAATCCTATGAGTGATTACTCCCATATCTCATTTATGGTTGTTTGTGGGTCAATAACCTTTATTTTCTGTTCCTTGCTACTTTAAAATGAGGTAATAAAAAATTAAGAATTGTTAAGATTTGTGAATATTAAATATTACTTTGAACAGTTTTATCCACTAACGTGTCTATTTACAAATGGAGGCCATTATAAATACAGTGAAATCAATACCTAATCATGTGGAAGAATATATGCACATATATGTGCTTGTATGTGAATATACATATGTATACACATGCATATTCAAACAGGCACATAGATTCATGTGAACATGGATATGTGAAGGCAATGGAATGTGTGTAACTATGTGTGTGTGGTAATGTAAGCATAGTGGGGTTTTTTTAAATTATTTAGCAAAATTCTCTATGGTATTAGGTCCTTGGGTATTGCTACTTCTTTTTTGTCAAACCTTAAGAGCTGTTAAAAGAGGAGATATCCAGATGTTTTACTGTCTAAATATTAGAGGATTAGTTTTATTTCCATTTTTTGAATGAACAAATTAAATTCAAGGGAAGGGAAATCATCCCATGTGATTATCTATGAGGCAAGAAGACAGTGAAACAAAAACATTTTAGATGCTGTTTTTAGCTTAATTCTCCCCTCTGCTGTTCCACTTGTATATTCATAAAGCCACTTACCTGTCCCTCTTTTATGAAACTGTTTCCAATTTAGGAACTGTGAGCAAAGTGGAAGAGTCCAGCTTCACCCGGTGGTGAGAACACCATGATGAACTCTAATGCATCACTTATCAATCACCATAGTTTTATTTTGACAGGTATCCCAGGGATACCAGATAAAAATCCATGGATGGCCTTTCCTCTGGGATTTCTCTACACACTAACTTTCCTGGGAAATGGTACCATCCTAGCTGTCATCAAGGTAGATCAGAGTCTCCATGAGCCTATGTACTACTTCCTCTCCATCTTGGCTCTGACTGATGTTAGTCTCTCCATGTCCACCTTGCCTTCCATGCTCAGCATCTTCTGGTTTAATTCCCATGAGATTCCCTTTGATGCATGCATCACACAGATGTTCTTTATCCATTCATTTGGATTGGTAGAATCAGGAGTATTAGTATCCATGGCCTTCGATAGATTTGTGGCCATCCGCAACCCATTACACTATGCTTCCATCCTTACTTACAGCATCATTGGCAAGATTGGAATAGCTGTCCTCACCCGGGCAGTCTGTGTTGTCTTCCCTGTGCCCTTTCTTATAAAGCGGCTACCCTTTTGCCATTCTAATATCTTATCTCATTCATACTGTCTCCACCAAGATATAATGCGGCTAGCCTGTGCCAGCACCCGCATTAACAGCCTATACGGACTCATCGTAGTCATCTTCACATTGGGAATGGATGCCCTCATTATTCTATTTTCTTACATTTTCATCCTGAAGACTGTGCTGGGCATTGCTTCCAAAACTGAAAGGCTCAAAGCCCTCAACACCTGCTTCTCTCACATCTGTGCTGTGCTCCTCTTCTATATTCCCTTCATTGGTGTCACCATGACGCACAGGTTTGGGAAGCATTTATCTCCAGTAGTGCACATGCTCATGGCCAATATCTATCTGTTACTGCCCCCTGTACTAAACCCTATTGTCTATAGTGTGAAGACCAAGCAGATACGAAGTCGAATCATCCACATGTTCCAGAGAAGAAGGAACAGGGCCTAGAGTAATGGAATCAAATGGCAGATGCAGAATACGTAGCATTTTCAGCAGTTACAATGCAGTCAAATTATACACAGCTGGTAAAATGAAAGGGTGGGCAAGGCTTGCAGGTTAAGATACAACACACGTCATTCTTGGTCTTTATATGCTCCATTTTGGAATGTATATACTGTATTTTGCTAAATCACATGCAAAATCTAATTTAATCAACATCATAATCTTTCTTCTTTGAACCTGAAGATGAGCATCAATGATGACATAAAGTATCACCTGTTTATTCATATAATGTTTATATTTATTCATATAATGTTAAGTAATGATTCTTTAATTATCAATTAAATAATTATTATATTAAAAGAAATATAGAAGCCCTATAGCACTGCTAAAGGCTAGATTTCTGAGATAATATTTTTTCCTTAAAATAAAGCAAAGCAAACTATTACAGAATTAAGTAGATTTGTTTTTATGTTTTAATGTTGATTGGATAAAAAGTGCCTATGATAAAACTGAAACAGACACACTTGTGGTTACTTAATTTATACCTCTTCTTCTAAAGGATATTACTTCTTTACAGATTTATAATAGTTCTAGTTTTCTGCCATATGTTTAATAGAATGATAGGTGTTCTGACCTTACAAGATGTTCTCAGCATTAGTAAAATCTATTTTGCTGTGTACTAGAGAATCCAGCAAAACTTTACCACGTAAAATTACTGCTGGGCTTCATATGAGGACAAATGAAAATTTTCAGCACTGGGACAAACTTTAAGAAAGCAGTGCGCACAGTGTGGGGATGAGTATGTCAAATGCAATGTACCTTTGTATTGATGCTAATAGCTGCTTCGAGTATTTTATTAATCATTACACAGTCAAGTTGGTAGGGGGGTTATTTACTCATTCAATAAATATACACTTAACACTAATGGAATTTCAGTCATTATTCTAGACCCACCAATTTTCTGCTCAACCCTGGCATTTTCTTTCAAGGAAATATGTATACAATTATAAGTCATGTAAGTATTACATGACAATATCACATTTAATTTGTTAATAATAACTAATAAGGCTAGTTGCCCTTATATATTATCTCCCAACAATCTTTGAGAATAAATGTTATCAACATTCGACACATGGGGGAAATGAGATTTAGAGCAGCCAAGTAACTTATTCTAAGACACACGGTTTCTAACTAGATTAGAAACAGAACTAGATTCAAATTTAGATCTGTTGATTGTAAAGCCTGTCAATCGAAACTTGACTCATGCATCAAGGTTTCCTAGGCTTGCAAACAAATTCTAGAGAGACGGAAGGAACCTGTATTTTAAGATTCAGATTAATGAAAGATAAGCTGGTAATCAATATTGCTGAATCTTTAAGGAAGAGGTTCATCTTGCTAAAATGAAACTAGACAGAGAGGCAGATTAAGAATAAATTTGCAAGACTAATGTAGAGTTTACATTTTCCATGGAAATTACTGAAAATTGTTGGTGTGTGCAGAATGCAAATATCAGTCAAGGCCTTAATATTGATGCTATCTAAATGGAAAACATGAATCTCAAACAGAACACATTATCATCAATTTACCTACAAAAAGAAAATAATGGAAATTTTATTTGTATTTAATTTTATCCCATCCTTCAAAATGTTTTTCTTAATGTGTTACCATATACATTAAGATAGTAGTATAGGAGTATCTGTATACACTTTTCAATGAATAAAATCTAAACTAATAAAAGTCTGGTCCTCGCGCATGACGTTGTCACATGATGGCCACCACAAGATGGCACCATAAGATGGCTGCCACACAATGGCTGTGCGCAAAGCAGAGGCGGGCCCCAGCAGCCACTCCGTGCAGTGAGGCCTGGGGGTTCCATGTCTCCACGTGGCATGGAGGAGGCGAGTCCCGGCGGTAGAGTTGGGTCATGGCAGGGGAGAGCAGTTGGGGGCCATCAGGCCAGCAGGGGAGGGCAGTTGGGGGCAATCAGGCCGGCAGGGGAGGATAGTTGGGGGTGACCAGGCTGGCAGGGGAGTAGTTAAGTGTCAATCAGGCCAGCAGGGGAGTGGTTAGGGGGCGATCAGGCTGGCAGGCAGAAGCAGTTAGGGTCAATCAGGCAGGCAGGCAGGCGAGTGGTTAGGAGCCAGCGGTCCTGGATTGTGAGAGGGATGTCTGACTGCCGGTGGGATCAGGCCTAAACTGGCAGTCAGACATCCCTTGAGGGGTCCCAGATTGGAGAGGGTGCAGGCAGGGCTGAGGGAAACCTGCCCCATGCATGAATTTCATGCACTGAGCCTCTAGTAGAATATAAATATATTAGGGAGTGTCCTTTTTACTTCCTTGTATAGATTCATAACCAAAAATTTGAAAACTATCACTGGGCTAAGCATAAAGGCCAACCATATTTCCAATATTCACAAACATGATAACAGAGACAATTAGCTGAAAGTGCCCTTTAATGTCATCATCCGCTCATTCTCTCATGGAACCATAGGGTAGCAAAGTAAAAAAATATATAAATTATTTATAGGCAATCTGAACATATACTCCACATCATCACTTTGCAATACCTTCTCTAGATCCTGTAATCTGACTTTTGTTTTCATTGCTATATGAAAGCTGTGTTTTCCATGGCTCAGACCTCCTTCTAACTAACAAATTAAATATTTCCCTTGCTTATTAATCTTAAAGCTGGAGTAATGATGTGTTTTCAAATTGTGGCTGTGTATGCTTTGGTGGGTGTGACTTAGTTGGTTGGGCTTTGTCCCCTGCACCAAAAGATTGCTGGCTCAATTTCCAATCAGGGCATATGATGTTTCACTCCCCCATTGATGTTTCTCTCTCCCTCTCCCTTTCTCTGTCTCTAAAAATTAATAAAAACAATTTTTTAAAATTGTGACTGTGCCCACTTACTTACTATGTGAACTTAACCAAGCTACATATATATTCTGTGCCTCAGTGTGTATTTTTCAATTAATAATAATAATAATAATAATAATAATACCAACTGATATTTATTCAATGCTTATTACTTCCAGGCCCTGGGCTAAGCCATACATGCATTAATTCCTTTAATCTTCATAACTTTATAAAATAAATAATAGTCCAATCCAGGTTTTGTAGATTAGAACAATTAGTATTAAATAAATTAGATATATTGCCTAGATTACACAGATAATAAGTGGCACAGCCAGAACTTAAACCCAAAGGTGTATGACATCTAAGCCCTTGCCCTCAATATACAGGCTGGGGCAAAAGTAGGTCTGCAGTTGTTCATATGAAAAATCATACAATGATTAATAAAAAATAATACAAGAATAAATTCTGTTTCACATACTCACAGCTGTAAACCTACTTTTGTCCCACCCTGTATTCACCCCTAGAGTTAATTTTGGGAGTAATAAGACCATGTGTAAAACACCAGTTATTGTAGTTATTTAGTAGATAGTATTGCAGATATTTGTACTGCTAGTACAGCTGCTGCTGTGGCTATCAATCATCTTCATCTTTAAAGAAGAAAAGGGACAGAAAGGGACATAGAGAAACCTACCTACTCCTTTACCAGTACACTTGTTTCAGAGGTCAGCCTTTATGTACTTAAGACACCAAAGATAATGGCTATGAAGGGTATTTCTACCTGTCTCTAAAAGGTAGAGCGTGATTTAGAAAATTTTGGCATAGCTGAAATTTCAAGTATCACATATGGGTGAAAATACCCAAGACCTGAAAGTCCTCAAAGAGACTTCTTCATCTCCTGAGGATGTCAGTCACTTTACACTGCTTCTAAGGACCTTTCCCCATGTTGAAAGAACAGATTGAGACCTAACCTCTTAACAAGAGTAGACCTGGGTTCTGTTCCCTGCTCCAGACTCAGGACTGTGATTGTGCCTGCAGGAGTGGTAAAGCTCAACTCTCCCCACAACGTCCAGAATATGTAAATGATGTTTTATACTTTATGATTTTGTTGTATGTCTGCAATGTGCATATGTTTTTTTAATAAAGATAATTTTTATGAACCCAAGATTAAGTCAGTAGGGCCTCTTGAACCCAAAAGCAGTATTTATTTTTTAATATATTTTTATTATTGATACTATTACAGATATCTCCCACCCAACCCCACTTTAAACGCCTCCTCTCAGCCCCTACTCACCTCTCCAGGTCTTCACTACCCTATTGCATGTGTCCATGGGCTATGCATTTAAGTATATAAGTCCTTTGCAGTATTTAAATGGAAATTCTCATTTCTTGTATGCATAGTCTTACCGAATTAATCTTAACTCGGCTACAGTCTGCCTTAGAAAATTTCTAAAGTAGCTACTGATTTGAGTAATAGATAATTACATTCACCACTCAAGTCACAAAGAATCTTTTCTCTTAAGTTTTAACAGCAAAACAGTAAATATTTTTAGAAAAAGTCACTTGGACCATGTAAAGAGATACAAATAGCTCAGTGTACACATGTGCCTTTGTTCCTTCTACTTTATATAGGTACTCTGCCTTCAATCAATATCCATAATGATTTTTAAATCTCTATTATGAGTGTCTCCTGTACTCTGCCTATCCCACTTTATCTATCACCTACAATATACATGGTGTCCATCATTCTCCAAGAAATCTGCCTACCTGAGCCTAGGCCAACAAATATATTACTTTGTGCTTTGATATCTTCATCTGAAAAGAGCACATAACTCTCTCCCTTATAAGGATGCTATAGGTAACAAATGAGATAACATGTAAAGACTCTGACAGTCTTTTACCTACTGGCCAATCTATAAAGATATGTTCTCTTAGAGACTTAGACTCTTACATTTGATATTTTTGAACACTTCTTGTAGGTGCACAACACTGCAAACTTTACAAATAATGGTATTTATATGATTGAATTTAATTTTGTAACAACACTGGAAACCAAGGGATATTTTCATTTTCAAAATTAAAAATTGCAGTAAAGAGAAAGTAAGAGAACTAATACCCAGTTTCACACATGGAAGCGCTAAACTTACCCTCAG